TGATATGAATACTTAATAAACAAGTGAAAAGAATGAAAATCTATTTGATTGTTATCTATGAGGGGTTTTTTCCTCTCCCTACTCTATGATCTGAAAGGATTGATTAACAGCTCCCTATGAATGATAGTGTTCCCTTTGACAAGAGTGGATTCACAATTTGCGCGTGGAGGAGCAACAACAATGACATACTGTCATGGTAATTAGATTATATTTAAAATAAATGTGAAATGGAATTGGCATTTCCTCTAATAAGAGTAGATTGCGATGGTGCGTAGGGCCACAGCTGCAACGTATGGTCATGGTCATTTATTTATATCGATATGAAATAGAAATTAATTGTCATTCACATATGAAATGAAAATTGATTGTCCTTTATAGTGGTAGTTGGGGATCGTTTTGCCCTCTATATATGTTTTGAATGACTTTGTGCAGAGATTGGTAAAAGACTTAAATAAAACATGGGCATGATACTTAGTTTCTATTCTAGGATGAATTTATATCATGACTTTTTTCCTTATTCTAAGATTATTTGTACATTCACTTTATTAGGTTTTTGTTGAATACCTGATATGTTCCGATATGCCTGAAATGACTTAATATGTCTACTTGTGACAGTGGCTATCTGCTCTCTCTGCTTGGTTCTATAATTTATTCACTACATTTTCTTAAGAAAGATAAAAAGACTTTCTAAATACTTGAATACGTTCATCTTGTAATAATCCTTCGAGGTAAGAGGTTTATATGGAAATGTTGTTCAGGTTAATTACTTTTTAAACTTTAGTTGTGTGGTTATACTGCTTCCGTTATTGAGTTTACATAGAACACACCCTTAATCTGTGTTTCCCCATATTGCCTCTAGAAGCTTGTTTGAACCCGTTCACGGATCCTTAGTGAATTTCTAAAATATAATTTGAGTGTAATAGTTTAGTCCACATTCTGATGTGGTATATGTAAGAACTCTATCTTTCGTATTTTGGTACTTAAGGTTGGCAACTTATGTCTTTTGGTGTAAATATTAACTCTAGATTACTTTGTAAGAGATTTCTATCTTCCACTTCAATGATAAACTTGTTATTAACACTTGTAACTACTTGGTAGTTGTCTCTTTTTTACCCTATAAGTATCTGGGATGTTACAATTGGTCTTAGAGCTAGATCCTGGGAAAATCTCTTACACGTATATCTGAAATTTAGACTGAGAACCTTAGAGAAATTCTTAGAATGAGAAACAACCTTTTCTTTATAGTCATGCATTTATTGTCTTCCTTTTGTAGGATTAGATGAATCGAGGTAAACTTTCACAGGAAGATTTGAGGCTCAAGATGCTCCAACCCTGGTCAATTTTCTCGAATTGTTCTGAGCCATTTAGATACTGACCGCTGCTGTCAGTTAGAACCAACACCAACCACCCCCTACTCCAAACTTTTGTCTAGTAGACATATCCATCTCCTAGAATATCTCTAGGTTTATGAGATTGAACCCTCCTTCCTTCGATGGTAAACATGATGCTTTAGTTACAAAAGCTTGGATTCTGCATATAGAAAAACTTTTTTTTTGTCTTGGACCTGATTGAGGAACATAAGGTCCCTTTAGCTACTTTCATGTTTATAGGTGAAGTCGCGCATTGGTGGCAGCTTAAGAAGGATATTTTACTAAAACCCACCACTTAGGACATTTCATGGATGCCTTTCTAGATAACTTCTTCTAAGCCTATGTTTGGGAGAAAGAGGAAGAGTTCCTAGAGGTCAGGGAAATATGTCTTTCACTAGTATACTACTGTTTTGTCCAATTGTCCCATTTTCCCTTATGTCAGTCGCCACTAAGAGTTAAAAGGCTCAAAAGTTTATGAAGGGTCTTAGAGTTGACATTTTTTACCGTGTTGAGGCCCTTGAATATGACCAGCTCACCGAGGATCTCAATTCAGCCCAACATCAGTGCATTAACCACATCCGTACCTAACAATAACAGAATATAAGGGTTACTGACCCTGGCCCCAGCCACATTGAGAAGAGACACCGCGTTGAACTTACTCCTGCCTTACCTCCACCTTTAGGTAAACCCTTTCTGCCAACCCAGTCATGTAAACATTGTGGGCAAAACCATGCCACCGCGTAAACAATGCCTACTATAAGTATGGCAGCACTCAACACTTTGTGAGGGATTGCCCTCAAAATCCCCGTAACATTATAAGGCCCATAACAAAGGAAGAATCTTTTATCTTAATGAGTCTAGTGTGAGAGCTACTCCGATCATCATCCAGGGTACGCTCTCTATTCGCAATTCTATTACCCATGCCTTGATTGATAGTGGTGCCACTCATTTTTTTATGTCTTGTTAATTTGTAAAGAATTTAGGAACTAAACTAGAATCTTTTAGACAAGTGTTAGAAGTAGAAACACCTTCTAGAGGACTTTTGGAAGCACTTGTATATAGGAACTGTAAAGTGAGTGTTCAGGTAGAGAATTAACTATAGATCTTATACTTTTAGACATCTAAAAATTTGATATAATCTTAGGGATCGATTGGTTACAGAATTACCGAGCGATTATTGACTGCAACAACAAAATTGTAACTTTACACTTGCCCAAACAAAAATACTCTTAATGATTAAAAATAAAACTTTGTTGTGTAAATAAACCTTTCTTGAATAATTTTGAGACTATATGACAAGGAGATTACTTCAAAAATGTTTTTTTTTTCCCTCTAACCTTTGTGATGAATAGGGGGATGAATCCTGAACCATCAATTCATAAGATCCCCATTGTTTGTTACTTTTTGGACGTCTTTCTAAGGGAACTACCAAGTCTGTCACCCAGGTGAGAGATTGAGTTCTCTATTGACCTAGTTCTGAGCACCCAGCTTATCATTATTCCCATGCACCAAATGGATCGAACGAAACTCCAAGAGTTGCATCGCAAGCTGATAAGGCTGCATAAGAAGAAATTTATCCACCCAAGCTTCACTCTTTGGGGTGCTCTAGTGTTTTTCACAAAGAAGAAAGATGGAACTCTCTATCTTTACATCGACTACAGGGAGCTTGACCAAGCAACCATCAAGAACAAGTACTCATTGCCCTATATCATTGGTTTGTTTAATCAACTTCAGGGCACATCGGTGTTCTCCAAGATAAATCTCAAGATTGGTTATCATCAGGTGCAAATCAGAGCTAAGAATATATTGAAAATGGCATTTTACTGTCGGTATGGCCACTTTGAGTTCAGGGTTATGCTCTTCTGTCTAGCGAATGCCCCGAAAATTTTTGTGGACCTCATGAATTGGATTTTCAAGGTTGTCTTGGATGGCCATGCATCATCTACCTTGATGACATCTTGGTATATTCAAAGGACTCTCAAGACCATTCTGTACACCTCACTCATGTGTTAGAGATTCTTTATCAGCGCCACTTTTATGCCCAGATTAGTAAGTGTTCCTTCTTGTTGGACTGGATCTCTTTCCTTGGCCACATGATTTCTGGTGAGGAAATTTTCGTTGACCTTACCATAGTTAAGGATGTTATTGGTTGGGACAAATCGGTCAACACTGAGGAAGTTTGCTAATTCTTGAAATAAGTGGGATTTTATCAATGATTTATTAGGGATTTTTTCTATATTGTTGCTCTCTTGATGAATCTCGTAAAGAAAGGGTTCTATTTTAATTGGGACCACGAGTGCAAGGAATGTCTTGTCGAGCTTAAGCGTCAACTCGCCATTGCTTCAGTGTTGGTCTTCCCCATCGATACCAAATGCTTTCAGGTTTATTGTGATGTATTTCGTGCTGTCCTGGGATGTGTGCTCATGCAACAAGGTCAAGTAGTGGCTTATGGTTCTAGACAGCCGAAGCCATATGAGTGTGACTACCCCTCACATGACCTCAAACTTATTGCCATTGTCTTTACCTTCAAGATATGGTGCCACTATTTACACGGATAGAGTTTTGAGATCCATATTGATCATGAAAGTCTGAAGTACTTGTTCTCTTAGGAGGAAACAACCAAGAGACAGAAATGTTGGGTGGATATCTTGAGGGATCACGACTGCACGATTCTATGCCACCTTGGTAGGGGTGGTGTAGTCGATAATGCCATTATTCGCAAGGAAAGGGCCATGTTGAGACCACTGATGGTTTTCAGCCAAAAATTGCTCAAGATGATTCAGGGACTCTGGTCGAGCCTCTACTGTAATGATACATACTTTTCACATACTAGAATCTAGTATCTTCTCTGCATTAGACTTTGGAAGGCCCAAGCAATGGATCTAAAAGAATTTGGAGCACATAAACTAGTTTATCCTTGATGGATATGGCGATTACAACTTCTAGATGACCTATAAGGGGTAACTAGTAGCCCCAAGCTCCGATAAGATGTTCTAAAAGAGGCGCATGTATGTAAGCTATCTATCCACCCTAGTAGTATCATGATTTATCGTAATTTGAGGCACCAGTATTAGTGGCTAGGTATGAAAACGGAATCATCGAGTATGTCTTTCAATGTCCCACGTGCTAAATGATTAAGGATGAACATCGGAGACTTAGTGGTCTTTTCTAAAGTCTCTCCGTTCCTTTATCGAGATGGGAGCACATGACCATAGACTTCATCACGGGTTTGCCAAAGATTAGTACAAACTGAGATACCATTTTGGTTATTATGGACAAGTTGACCAAGTCCACCTACTTTCTTGCAACCAAGACCACTGACACGACCAACAAGTAGTGCGACTATATGTTGAGGAGATTGTTTGACTCCATTGTGTTCCAGCTTTTGTGGTTTTGGACAAAGATCCTCGTTTCACGTCCCATTTCTATGATAATTTTCAAGAAGCCCTTGGCTCCAGCTTGTACCTCAGTGTTGCTTGTCATTCCCAAAATGGTGGACAGTCTAAGTGAATCATTCAAACATTGGAGGACATGTTATGTGCCTATATACTGGATTTTGGTGTCAGTTGGGGCTAGTGTCTCCCCCTCAAAAATTTTGTCTACAACAACAGCTATCACGACAGTATCAATATGGCTTTATTTGAAGCTCTCTATGTTAGGCCTTACCGAGCCCCAACTTGTTGGACTGAGGTTGGGAACAGGCATCACCCAATAGTGGAGTATGATAAAGGAACTGTTGAAAAGGTTGTTATCATTCCAAGGTGCCTCTCCATTGCGCAGAGTTGGTAGAAGAGTTACACTGACAATTGAAGAAAACCTTTGGAATTCACCATTGGTGATCATGTTAGGTTTTTCCCTTTAAAGCACGAATGCGGTTTGAAAGAAGAGGAAAGATAAGTCTTCGCTTCACTGGACCTTTAGAGATCATGGAGCATATAGGCCCCGTTGCCTACCATCTTGCATTGCCCCCACAATATGGCGCACTGCATGATGGTTTCCACATCTACATGCTCAAGAGGTATCTCCCTAACCCTTCTCATGTTATTTTGTGTCCTAAATCTCTTATTTGCTCAAACATGGCATATCCTGAGTATCATGTGGAGATTCTCGATTGGTCAGAGAAGGTTCTATGTAAAAAGAGGATTCCAATAATCAAAGTGCTATGGTGACACCATACTTTAGAAGAGGCCACATAGGAGATCAAAGAGGAAATGTGGTATTTATATCCTGAAGTAATTTAACAAATAAAAAAAATCTTTTCAAATTTAGAGCACCAAATTTATTGAAGGTGGGGAAGATGTAATGTGACATCCCAAGTGCTAGTTAAGGCAAATGGGTGTCAGATACAGAAATAGAATAACGAGTGCATGATAAAATTTATGCAGCAGAACAAAATTATTACAAATCCCTTACAAATACATATGAGTTCCAATACATACATAAATTGAGACCACAAGTGGATGCAAAATATAAAATAAAACATAAGGGCCACTTCTTTCACTATGCTGTTAGACTCATCAGAGTGCGGGAACAGTCATGCACTCAGACTTGTGGATCCACAGGATCCTCATAGACTTTCAAGGGTAGGTCAGCCTGCGGTTCCTCAATTTCTTCCTCATCTTAGGGGGACATGGAAAGAATGAGTTTCATATGCTCAGTAAGGAAAACAATATTAAATTAACATTGTAATATTTCAAAAATTAATTATTTTCACTTAAGAGCTTACCATTTAACCTCCTCATTTACCTATCTCACATTATGAAAAACTATTTATTTGTTAAGAAATTGGTACGTTAATACAAATAACCAAACATACATCATGCTAGATAATAGAAAAAATCCAATAAATTATGAAATGCTCAAATTTTTGTGTCATGCTTCGTGAAGTCGTTATAACTTCCATCTCTAACGACATATACATATTTTTAACTACCTAAGTGGAATGACTAGATTAGATATAGATACAGTAATTTGGTCAGGCCAATTTTTGATTAGCTAAACCATGGTATGATCTATGACCACAGTCGTACCAGCAATAATGGCCCTAATAGATATCTACAGTCACAATATTACTTAGCCACAGGTGACCCCTACAGATAGTGCGATACCACTCTCGTTAGCCATCATCCACTTAGAGTGGTCCTCTTACGTCTTTCAGAACCAGATAGGGGAGGGGAAAACAGACACCCCGACGGGCAAGGGAAATAGATACCCTTTAGAGATAAAAAGCCTAACGAGACACTTGATGTCATATGCATGTCAATACAGGCTTTATTCCACTTTTTTTTTCTTTTTTTTATACTTTTTACTTTTACCGATTACATATTATATTTATTGCATAAAAATTCATCAAGTGTCTGCAATTCACATAACATGCTTAAAAATAAGAACAATTTGACTCATTTGAATACAGAGGCATACAAAATGGGCAAATAACAATAATTTTAAATTAGTTTATCTAAAAATACTCCTTAAGACGTCGAAAAAATAACTAAATTTCTTATGAAACCTCAATTTTTTCTCCTTCACCATTCTCCTTTCATTCTCTTCATCTCTAACTAGACTACTATCTCTCTCTCTTTAAATATTAAAATATAGAAGAATGGAAGTTTTGAGAGGAAGGGAAGGGGAAGAGTAATTTATAGAGTTTTAGAACTGTCAAATTTATACAAAGTGGCAAAATTTGGTGAAGAGAGAGGAGAAAAAAATGCTTGTCATGAAAAACAAGGGAGGTGGGCCTCCTCCATTGCAAGCGCCAGCACATCGCCTTAGGTAGCAGTTTTGTGCCGCCCGAGGTAAAGGTTGGACATTGTCTGAGGAAGCATAGGCGCACTCCCCGAGGTGACACTACCTCGGCCGGCGCACTATAGGCTAGCCTGTAGGCGCGTAGACCTCTTGCCATACCGCAATGGTTAGCCTGCGAGCATGCCCTAGCTGCATAGGGCCTATCTGCGTAGGCCTGCTATGCGGACAGCTTACACATAATTTGCGGTGCCTATCTGCGCGCAAGGTGATACGCGGACGACCCGCTTGTGCGCGACAAGATGTGCACAAGTCCTAACCCTGCACCGTGCGCGTTATGCGCACGTCCCGTGCGTGTATGTATATGGAAGGGACGTGCACGCTGTGCCCAAGTCTCATGGCTACTATGCGCGCGTGTGCACAGTGCCCAACACTCTCGCGGGCAACCTGTCTCCCCGCAGGATTTTCTTCTCGATTCACCCTTTTTCGATTTTTCTCAATTTTTAATAATTAACCTAAATAAGCTAAATAAAAATTACACAATAAAATTTAAAATAAAAAATAATTTAATAAATTTAAATAAAAGCAAAAATAAAAATTAACCATATTTATGAATTGTGATAAATATTAAGCAGAGTAAATTAATTAAGTTTAATGTGGCCAAAGGCCTGAATAAATAAGATTTCCAAATTATTTAAGCACAGTGATGGGTGGGGTTTTATATGTAAAACCCCAAACCTTTGCACTTTAACATATGGTTAAACTCCATTTAAATCAGAAATTAATTTCTTGGTATATTAATTATTAATACTATTGTATTTTATTAAAATTAGTATTTTGTCTATTATTGAAATTTTTTAATTATTATTGTAGTATTTTAAGAAAATAAGAGGAAATAAGAGCAAAAAAGAAAATAGACAAATGGGGAAAAATCTCCTGGAAGGAAGCTTCCAGTGCTAGAGAGATTTCCTTTTCCTCATTTCCCACACTTCATTTCTTCTTCCACTTTCACTTTCTAGAGAGATTTTAAAAAAAGAAAGAGGGAAGTTTTAGAGTGAGAAAGAAGAAATTTTAGAGAGAAAAAAGTAAGAAAGAAAGAGAAAAAGTAGGAATTTAAGGAGCTTGACCAAGAAGTGTTAGAGGTTCTTCTTTTCCTTTCTTAAAGACTTATTTGACTTCAGTTTCCGTGATGGACTCTTTAGTATTTTCTCTCACATTTCTAAGAGCACTTTCTAGATAAATTATATTGGGATATTCCTTGACTTGATGCATGAATTGGTATATTTGTTGACACATGGTTTATTTGAACATGAAATGTGAGTTGATATGCCTGAGGGTTACAAAAATATGATTATTAAATGCGTGTGGGATTGGCCCTTTACCTTACCTTTGGTAATGGTGAAAAGGGTTATTCTAGGAGCCCTGAATTTGATCCCGATGGTCAAGTTCGAGTAATATGGGCCTTGTGCCATATATGTTAATGGATCCCAACCAAGTTTTGGATATATGATCATGAATGTGGGCCTTGGGCTGGATATGTCATTGAATCCCACCGAGTTAGGAACGTATGATTGATTTGAATACTTAACAAACAAGTAAAGAGAATTAAAATCCATTTGATTGTTATCTCTTAGGAGTTTCTGTCTTTCCCAACTGTATGATCTAAAAGGATTAATGAACTGTTCCTTGTGAATGATGGCATTTCCTCTTACGAAAGTGGATTTGCGATTTACATGAGTAAGAGCCACAGTGATGATGTACTACTGTGGTAATTAGATTTTATTTTAAATGGATATGGAAATGGAATTAGCATTCCCTCTTATGAGAGTGGATTTGTGATAGTATATAGGGCCACAATGGCAATGTACGACTGTGGTCATTAGTTTATACCGATATGAAATAGAAATTGATTATCATTCATAGTGGAAGTTGGGATCATTCTGCCCACAGTAGATTTATGTTTTGAACGGTTTTGCGTAGAGGTCGGTAAAAGACTTAAACAAAACACAACCATGATACTTATTTGGTATTCTAGGATTAATTCATATGATGATTCTTCTACTTATTCTGAGATTATTGAACATTCTGCTTATTTGGCTTTTGTTGAATACCTTAGATGTTCTGATATACCTAATATGACTTAATAATATGTTATGTAATCTGTCCACTGGATTTTCTTAAGAAGATAAAACGGTTTTCTAAATACTTGAATACGTTCATCCTATGATAGTCCTCCAAGGTAAGAAGGTTTTATGGAAATGTTCTTCAGGTTAATTACTTTTTAAATTTTAGCTGTGTGATTTAAATACTACTTTCCTTACTGTGTTTACATGGAATTCACCCCTAATATGTGCCCCCCATATTGCCTCTAGAAGTTTGTTTGGACTAGTTCATGAATCCTTAGTGAATCTCTAGAATATAATTCGAGTGCAATAGTTTAGCCTGCACTCTGATGTGGTGTAACACTCCACTAACCTTCATGCTAAATTTGTATTTGGAAACTCCTATTTATTCGGGGCATAAGGCCACTTGAACATCTTAAAATTATCTCATAATTTTTATATCGTATTTCGTTAATTTAATTCGTATTTTTAATTTATTCCTAAAAATTATATTTTATGATTTTATTATTTTTGTCAATTTTACTTTATTATTTTTACTTTTTCACTATTTTGTTTTTAAAATAATTTTCAGGAGAAAAGATGAAAAAAAGGGACGGAATCCCACAGAAAAATGCCCGCGAGAAAAACCCACTCGCATGGGCATCGCACGCCACGTGCGGGTGCATGCGCAGGGCTCGCATAGGACATACGTAATGTGGCATATACCGTCCGTGTGGAACGTGAGCCTAGTCTGCGCGCACATCCCATCGCGATATATTGGTATGTCATGTACACTGTGCGCGCGCTATTAGTGCATGCATACAGTAGGCCTGCCTTGCATGTTATAGGCCCTGCGCGTAGTAGGATAGGCCGACACGCTTGTAGGCTAGGCTTGCGAGCACGACTAACATGGGGAGGCGTGTTGCTACCCCGGGCAGTGTGTCTTTACCCATTGAGAGCTGTGCGCTTCCTTGGGTGGTGTGCCACTACTTGTTGGGAGGATCTTCCTCTATTTTTTGCACTACCATTACGTTGCATCACATCACTATTTTTCCACTCAATTTTCTCTCTCCTCACTAGATTTTTACACTTAGCGCAAATCTAATGGTCCCCATTTTTTATAAATAAGGACCCCTCTCTTCAAATTTTCTCATTTCTTCCATTTCTCTCATCACTTTTATTTCATTCTTCCATCCTCTAAGAGCTTAGAGAAGAAAGGGAGTGATCTAGAGAGAGAAAGAGAGGAGAAGAAGAAGAAAGGTATAGGGAAAACTTCAAGGTTTCAGTAAGAAATTTAGTATTTCTGTTAAACATCTTAACGAGTA